CACCAAAAGTTCCACAGGAACTTAAGGAAAAATTTCTTACCAGTGAGGGTGACAGAGCCCTGGAACAGGCTGCCCAGAGAGGTTGTGGAGTCTCCTTCTCTGGAGATCTTCCAAACCCGCTTGGATGCAGTCCTGTGCCATGTGCTCTAGGTGACCCTGCGTGTGCAGGGGGGTTGGACTAGATGATCTCTAGAGGTCCCTTCCAACCTTAAGCATTCTGTGATGCTATGATTCTATGATCTGAAGGTATAGCTATAGATACAAAGCACTACCAATTTTCATACTCTTACTAAACATTTCTAACTTATACTACCTACTTTGCTTAATGAGCTGTACGAAAGCACAGAGCAAGACCGCACAACAGAAGACAACGGTGCCCTTCCCGGGTTTTCCAGAGCAATTGGGTTGTCTTTTTGAAGACGTGTCCCTGGCAGTGTTCAAGAAACATGTAGATGAGGCACTTGGGGACGTGGTTTAGCAGTCAGGGTGTTGAAAGATTTATGGTTGGACTCGATGATCTTGAAGGTCTTTTCCAATCATAACGAAGACTCTTCATAGCCAAAGCCTGGGATAGTTGAACAATGAAGAAAGCTCGTGCTTTGAGAAAGCCATTTTGGATAATATTTCTCTGTATTTTTTCACTACAGAAATGAATGATAACAGAACCCTTTGGTGAGTCATCAGCATATTTTGAAAGGTGTTTTGCAACAACTTTCTTGAATGCTCCATCTGCCCCTGTCTGAAGTGCTTAGAGTGCCCATTGCCCGGAATAAGGGATATCACAGCTACAGTGAAACTGGTCTGAACCCACAAAGAGGAACAACTTCCAGATGTTTTCTGGCCTAATGGACTCCACAAATTTGAGATAGGTGCCTGTTTTCTCAATATTATACATGAGACAGCCTGCCACTTCAGAGGAAGCTCCACAGAAGGAAACCAATACACTAAATGCCAAGCTACTAACAAAAACAGTTGAAAATGCTCAAATGTGGAATTTATGGCCTGTCCTCTCCCAGGAGACAAACTCTGCTAAACTCTGTAATGCAAAGCTGTCCTTCCTTCCTCTTCCCAGCTGATACATTTAAAATAGCTGGCCTTTCTTCACAAAAGAAAGCTAAAAGTGTCCTCCGGTGCATCTTTTGTCAAGTAGTCTACTGATTTAATATGCAAACCCAATTTAAAATGAAGTAAGTTGGTTGAATGCAAGGTGAATATAATGAAGAAGCAAGGTCGCAGGGGCAGAACTTAAGGCCCTTTCACACAAACTGGAATACATGTGTTGAAATCCTCAAGAAGGGACTTTGGTCAGGGCCTGCGTGTCAAAGGGAGGCTGCCGCCACCCTCCCATGTTCCCCCTGCTTCATGTGCAGCCCAATACCCAGCGGATGGGAAGCGCTGAGGACGAATGCTGGTCAGCCCCTGCAAAACCCACGCAGACTTGAGAGATGATCTAGGTACTGAGCTCTGTTAGGACATGGCTATTTGCACATGCAAAACTCCTGCCTTGGCAGTGACGTGGGGATGCACAGCCCATCCAGGCCGGGAGACAGGAGCTGCCCGCGCTGGCTTGCTTGCCCTGCTCTCAGCGCACTCGGTGCTGCCACACTTGTTACGAGGCAGCTCAACTCCCTCTGCTATAAACACAGCAGCAGCTACGCAGAGAGCTTTAGCAGCAATTCAGCCAGGCAGGACCCACAGCAGAGGGGTCAAGGGCTGCGTGCCAGGGCCTGGGCATCCACGCTCACCACCTGCAGCAGCTGCAGACAGCTCTGCTGGTCTTCACAGTCGTGGTACACGGGCAGGGCTGTCGCAAGGGTGAGCATCCAGCACCCGGACTGTGGTGCACGAGCTACGGCGCAGATCACCAGGGATTTTCTTCTGCTCCGACCCGTCCTCGTGCCTGATTAGATGAGAGGCTGCCGGTGATGAGAGGCTGCCGCTCCACCCGGGGTGACCGCCGCCTGCACTACCTGTCATCTCCTGTCAGCAGTGACATGAAGCGCTGTGGCTGCTGCTCAGTGGCTTCCACTTGATTCATTTTTCATGTATTTAAACACCACTATTTGCTTTTGCTAAAAATGCTTGCCTTTCTATCTGTGCACTTTTGCAGCTGAGTTACTAAGGAGCTCTTAAATATTTATTGACTGTGTCTACACAGCACACAAAGCAGGTTCATAAATTTAGCTCTTAGAACTACATTGCACTTTATGGTCTACTTGGACATTTACCAAAGACTTTCTGAATGTTTTCTTTCTTGTGCCATAAATAAACAAGGGATAGTTTTAGAAACAAGCTTCAACTTGAGCAGGAAATTGAATACCCAGAACTGATACTGGTCCTGTAGCCCTCTCAGCTATCAGTTGAAACTTGCCTTATTATATCACGCTGGATTTCAGAAAGCAATATGTAGCAACATGTCACATAGCAACAGACAGGACTTATCCAGTAATGTCTTGACAGAGCCTTTTGTTCAGGGGGAAAATACCCAATTCATCAAAAAATCCCCCAGGAACAGACTGATGTCAGCAGCATGATGAAAGAAATTTTTCACAGCAAGAGGAGATGGCACTTTGGGAGCTGCACGGCCTGCAGAGCTGCACACCCCTGCCGTGCTCCTCGGGCTCACCTAGCCCAGCCTCGCCACTCCACGCAGCACCCTCGCGGTCCAGCTTCCAGCAGGGTCCTCTCATCCAGCAAAGGGGCAGGTCTGCGGCACCCCGGGCTCCTGGGGAAATCACAGCTCAAGTTCTCCTCCACCAACGTTGCCCTTGTTGGAAGGCCTCTTACCCCTGCTTCCAGCGAGGGCATTTTTGGCTGTAAATGGAATTTGTGCCCGTTTCCTGCCCAGCTCCATTCCATCCATGACTAACTGGCTGGGGCTACGTTGCTGAATTTTACCATAACACACAGGTTAGGAAATCAGCTTAAAAATACAGGTGAATGAAATGCATGCAAGAAATTAGAAGCACAAAGCACTCAATTCCTCGAAATGGAATTGAAACCACTGTGAAAATTTAATTTGAAATACTTCGTTTTTCTTCCCAAGATGCCTTGTATATACAGAAAAACAAAGCAAACTTAGGTTATTAATAAGCTACTGCAAGCTGTGTCTCTGCAGCTTTCTACCTCTTCTACTTCAGCAAAAAAACAAGAAGATTTATTGTTAGCATTTGTTTACCTTTGTTGTTGTTTATAGCAAATCCCCTGTATGCACAGAGAATTTCTGCTTTGTTCTCAAGAACAGATGATAGATAAAATCACCTGTTAGCTCCATCTCTAAAATCTCATTAATGGACATTTTAAAGACATCTATCCTTTTATCTTTATTACCTTCTGTCTTCACTCTTCTGCCGGTGATGGGAAATTAATGAAGGAATTCAGATGCTGGGTGCAAGCTCTACTAACGCAGATCTTTGTAAACCTCATGGGCCTCACATGTATCTACCACATAGCACACCATACAGATTTTCATGAAGAGTTCTCCCTTTTTTTTTTTCTTGAAGGCATATATTTTTCCATCAGCAAGCTGAAAATGCAGCACTAATCCTGTCTTCTGACCTTGTGTGGCACAAGCAAAAACAGTGTCCTGGCCCCTGAGTTACTGCAGAGCATTCTTAGATGTGACTCATGATAAAAGGGATTCTGCTTCCCAACATTTTCAGTCTAAATTCTTATTCTCCTCTACGTATTACCCTGAGGCAAGGTCATGGTCTTGGACTAAAACAAGACAAGGG